CCAGTCCTACTGTCACGCGTCTCCTTGCTACTGTCATCATTGACCCCTCCTTTGAGTCCACTTCTGCGTCTGCTCTAGTTGCTGAACTCGTCGACTTTGCTGCTCGCTGTCGTCTAGACTACGCTGCTAGTCTTGTTGCTGAGTCTGAGTCTGTCTGTCCTCCGTCCGTCGGGGGTGAGTGTGCCCTTGGCACGGACGTCCTTGAGGACAGGCAGGAGGAGTTCCAGTGTCTGGCTGCTGCTTCACCTCATCTCGTGTCCGTACTGCTTACCCCTGAGGGAGACCCGGATGCACTTGACATCCCGACTCCGCGCTCTTACGCGGAGGCCGTAGAGGGTCCCTACTCCTCTCAGTGGCAGGCAGCTATGGATGCAGAGATGGCTTCCTGGAAGTCCACAGGCACCTACGTTGACGCGGTTCCCCCACCTGGAGCGAACATAGTCAGTGGCATGTGGATCTTCAGGGTGAAGCGGCCGCCAGGTTCTCCACCTGTCTTCAAGGTGCGGTACGTGGCTCGTGGCTTCAGACAGCGGCAGGGAGTTGACTACTTTCAGACCTTCTCTCCCACCCCGAAGATGACCACTCTTCGGGTGCTGCTGCACATAGCCGCTCAGCGCGACTACGAGCTTCACTCTCTTGACTTCAGCACTGCTTTCTTGAAGGGTAGCCTGCACGAGGAGATCTGGCTGCGCCGCCCACCTGGCTTCACTAGGAGTTTTCCTCCTGGCACCCAGTGGAGCCTCCGGCGGCCATTCTACGGTCTCCGCCAGGCACCGCGTGAGTGGCACGACACACTGAGGACTACGCTTGCGGCTCTTGGGTTTGCTCCCTCTACTGCTGACCCGTCGCTGTTTCTGCGCACCGACACCTCTTTGCCGCCGTTCTACATCCTCGTGTACGTCGACGACTTGGTCTTTGCCACTGCTGACACTGCTGGACTTGCCCACGTGAAGTCCGAGCTGCAGAAGAGACACACGTGCACAGACCTGGGTGAACTGCGCAGCTACCTTGGCTTGCAGATCACCCGGGACAGAGCACGCCGCACCATTACCCTGACTCAGTCACACATGGTGCAGCAGGTCCTTCAGCGCTTCGGCTTCACGTACTCCTCGCCTCAGACCACTCCTCTGCCTACTCGCCACTCGCTCTCAGCTCTGCCTTCGGATGAGTCCGTAGAGTCGAGTGGCCCGTACCTAGAGCTTGTTGGCTGCCTCATGTACCTGATGACCTGCACACGACCTGACCTTGCATACCCTCTTAGCATTCTTGCACGCTATGTTGCTCCTGGGAGACACAGACCGGAGCACATGGCTGCAGCGAAGAGGGTGTTGCGCTACTTGTGCAGTACGTCGGGCATGGGGCTAGTGCTTGGAGGGCAGAGTCCAGTGGTCCTCACTGGGCACGCAGACGCTTCTTGGGCTGATGACCAGGCTACACAGCGGTCGTCACAGGGTTACACCTTCAGCCTTGGTTCCGGCTCTGTTTCGTGGCGGGCTACTCGCTCGTCTTCCGTTCTCGGCTCCAATTGTGAGGGTGAGATCTACGCAGGAGCCATGGCTGCTCAGGAGCTTCGCTGGCTCACCTACTTGCTGACTGACCTCGGAGAGCCGCCTCGTTCTCCTCCAGTGCTGTACGTAGACAACAAGGCCATGCTGGCCTTGTGTCGGGAGCAGCGCCTGGAGCACAGAACGAAGCACATTGCTCTCCGCTACTTTCTTGCTCGTGAGCTGCAGCAGCGTGGTCAGTTGCGACTTGCGTACGTGGCCTCTGAGGCCAACACTGCTGATATCTTCACTAAGGCACTTGCGCCTTGTGATCATCAGCGCTTCTGTACTCAGCTTGGTCTTGTGCCTGCCTTGCCTCACTTGCTCACTTCTTGACCTTGCTTGTACTGTCACATATATATACTCCTGCACTTGCTTGTTTAGCCTTTTATATATATATTTGTGTGCTCCTGCATGTGAATTGGCCTTCTGGCCTTGAACTTGTTCTCAGAATGTGTGGTGACTTTGTGATCCACCCTGAGCTTTGCTTTGTTCTGCTTGACTGGTCTTGTGACCCCTTGTTCTCCCCCACTTTGCCTATGGGGGTGTGTCAAATCATAATGTTCTGTAGGCTGTAGTGAGGTAGCCCATATGGGGTACACATTTCTAGGGTTGCATATTTGTACCACTTTCCATTCCACCCATTCTCGTTTCAATTCTCACACTTCCACGTTTTATTGCTCCGACAACACTTCTCGCCGACATACTTAAGCACAACATTGCTTCAATGGCGCCCGTCAACAACGTTTCTATTCGCGAAGGAAACAAGACAGCGAACACCCCGGGCGCGCAGAACTCCGGAAGTCTGCCCGGGGCAACCACGCGTCGTGCGAAACGCCCTGCCGAGGAGGCACGCGAGGACCTCGCCACTGGCGTCGAAGTCCTGTTTGGCGCGACCTCCTCGGCGCCTTCTGAGGAGCTTCCTGCTGCGCGCGTTGCTTCCAAGCAGCCGCGCGACATGGCGAAAAAGACAGCCACTGACGCGGCTGTCATCATCGCTTCGGCCGGCCAGGCCGGCCCCTCTGGCGCACGCGACAAGGAGCACGCGCGAGCGGCACCCTCGGCACCCTCGGCCCCTGCTGACGTCAGCCCCCTTGCCTTGACCACTGCGCAGGTCCAGGCACTGCTGGCGATGTTACAGCAGCAAGCACCTGTAACTGCGGGGACTTCTAACAATGACGAAGTTACAGCATCTGCAAAAAATAACAAGAAGGAAGAAAATGTCGTCGCCCCTCGCCCGCCTCAGGCTGCTCGCGTCGAGAAGAACCCCGCTCCGGCACCCGCCGACGAAGACAGCGACGAGTCCGACGATGCTGCTGGTGAGGCTCCTCGCTGGCGCAATCCAATTTTTTCCAATGCCCCTCGCCCCACACTCCCCTCGCTCGCTCCCTCAACCGCAACTACCACTTTCAACCGCAAGGGTGTGCGTGATCAGGCAGAGGTTTTCTCTACCATCCAAGCCCACCTCAGGCTCATGGAGCTCCAGCTGCAGCAGAGTGACGCGGAAGGAGCGCTCGCCAACGTCACTCAAATCGAAACGCTCATTAACAAGCGCTTCGAGGTGCTCTTGGTGGCGGACGAGGCGGGTTTTGAAGCGGCCGACCGCTTCCAGCTCTACCAATCGAAGAGCATGCTCACCTCCCGCTCCTACAAGCTAGCCGTGGCAGACGTGGCAGCATCGAAGCGTGCCCGCATGAGCTATAATCGCACCGTGCGGGGTAACGGCCTCGACAACGGGGAAATCGGCAACAAGGGTGCCGGACAAGGCTCATGCCAAAACAGGGCCTTCAAGGGCACCTGCTTTCGCTGTGGCCAGCCCGGGCACATGGCAAACGCCTGCCCCATGGGGGGGCGCGGCGGACAAGGCCCCACACCCGTGGTATGAGGAGTAACCAAGGGCGATGCCCCTTTCCCCGCTCGCCGAAAGAGCGCAGGGGATTGCACCAGGGGGTGCACGGCTGTGGAGCAGCCTAGGGACTCAAAGAGGTCAGGGGACCCTTAGATTAAGGCCAGGGTGGCTGATGGATGGCCCTGAAATGTATTTCTTGTTATGAGAAAAAAAAAAAAGGACTTGCAAGTTGTTTTTACTTCCTCATATTAAACCACGGGCTCTTGGTTGGAGCTGCACTTTGGAAATGAAGAGTTGGCAAGCCTACTCAAGGAATGTCAAAAGGAAAAGCCACAAACAATGGCAGCAAGAAGGAAAATCAAGAGGCAAAATCACGGGCAAGCTCGCTCAAAAAAAAAACAAGAGGCGACGAAATCGTCTTAGGGTTGCGAAGCAACATTACACTGTTATTTTTAGATACATCTGATATATAGTGAGAATTATATAATATCGTAACATGACTTTGATATTTGCTGAATCATTGCTATTCATAGATATGTGTTTCATATAATATGGGAGTATACAAATGAAAGGGTGTACATAATAGATGGGTGTGGTTGTTTAGGGTAAGTTATTCTTGTTGTGTTCATATGATTTGGTTTTAGGGTGACTGAAAATCTGAAACAAAAAAAACTATAGAAAGGAAAAGCTTTATTTAACCAAATCTCTGACCATGACTAGATTCGAATTACCGACCTTTGCGATAACGTTGACGTCGACAGAGCTGTGCTATTGTTACGGGTGCAATGAATCGAAGTAGCGAGAATTGCACTAAGGTGTCAAACGAGTACAAAATGTGAGCGAAGGCATGCGCGAACATTTATACGCGAAACATGCAAAACGGTAACGCGGTGCGTGCGAGCTTGCTAGTGCTACGCTGGAGCGAGGCTCGGGCTAGTCCCGAAGCGTAGGCCGATACGGCCATGCCAGCAGTGCGAGGTTTGGCAAAACAGTGCGCGCGAAGTCGGCGAAGTTCCGTTAGCAGTAACGGGCGAACAATCGGCTGTTGCTGTACGCGATGTAGTCGGCTCCGTAAGGAATGCCGAGAAAATTCCTTACAGCTATACAATCCATGTTTGAAGAAGCGTAAAATCATCTTGACCTTATTTGCAATAAAAACGTCCCATTCTAGGGTTTCGTCAAATGTCTTTTCCTCCGTTTCTCTTCCACCTAGTCAGACTACTCTAGCTTCTCCCCGTCCCTCACGCCACTCACGCCACTCACACCACTCAGACTATAACTCCTAGTTAAGGTAAGCCTCATTCTCTCTATTCTTAAGTTCATTCTAGTTGAGAGGGGGTTCTAGTTTAGCTCATTTGGTTGAGAGTTGTTTTTTTTTAAACGAGATCTAGACGTATTTTGTTTCTTAACCTCGCTTTCTTCCTAGGTTATGCACCGTACTTTTGTTCTCTCCTTCCCTCTCCTTCTCTCCACTTCTTCCCATCTTCTTCTCTCCTTTATTTCGATTTACATTCTACTTGCTTGCTCTTTTCAGCTCTTGCTCTTACTTTTGTCTTCTTCCGTACGCTGTTTCTTGATTTATTCCTCTTCCTTAATTGAAATTTGACATGATTATTAACAATTATGTTCAGAGAGTTAAATTATTAGGTTGGAGCATTCTCTTTCTCGTTCTCTTTCTCGTTCTCTTTCTCGTTCTCTCGTTGTCTAGTTCTTTCTCGTTCTCTCGTTCGTTCTCCCTCGTTCTTTCTCTCCCTTTTTCTCTCTCTCTCTCTCTCTCTCTCTCTCTCTCTCTCTCTCTCTCTCTCTCTCTCTCTCTCTCTCTCTCTCTCTCTCTCTCTCTCTCTCGCGTTCTCTCTCTCTCTTCTCTTGTTCTCTCTTTCTCTCGTTCTCTCGTTCTCCCTCGTTTTCTCGTTCTCTCTCTCTTCTCTCTCTCTCTCTCTCTCTCTCTCTCTCTCTCTCTCTCTCTCTCTCTCTCTCTCTCTCTCTCTCTCTCTCTCTCTCTCTCTCTCTCTCTCTCTCTCTCTCTCTCTCGTTATTTCACTCTCGTACTCTCGCTCTCGCTCTCGATCGTTCACCCTCGTTCTCTCTCGCTCGTTCCCTCTCTCGTTCTCTCCCTCTCGTTTCTCGTTTTCTCTCTATCGTTCTCTCTCTCTCGTTCTCTCTCGTTTTCTTTCTCTCTCGATCTCTCTCTCTCTCTATCGTTCTCCCTCTCTCGTCCTCTCTCTCTCTCGATCTCTCTCTCGTTCTCTCTCTCTCTCTCTCTCTCTCTCTCTCTCTCTCTCTCTCTCTCTCTCTCTCTCTCTCTCTCTCTCGTTCCCTCTCTCTCGTTCTCTCTCATTCTCTCTCTCTCTCTCTCTCTCTCTCTCTCTCTCTCTCTCTCTCTCTCTCTCTCTCTCTCTCTCTCTCTCTCTCTAATGGTCCTTGTATTGATAGAGCCGAAAGGTACACACATGCAAAGTAGAAAGCAAGCAACATGAAACACGATTCAACATCACCTAGGCTACCTCTGCTGCCACCCTGCTACCCCACTCTAAATTTCCAGGAGTGGTTCCACCACCGCAAAACAGTCCCCCAGGTGCAATTCATGCCCGATGCCCCCCACAGGAGGATTCTCTGCTGCTGCAGCCTCACCCAATTTCATCAGAAGCCCCACGGATTGGGCCCGTTGAAGGGCCACGGACCAACGCTGCCGGAACTGATGCAAGAACTTGGCGGCATAGAAAGATTTGGAGTCGGCGTTGAAGTGACGCCGAGCCGCCGAGTCTGCCAGGAGCTTGAGGAATACGGGAACCTCAGCACACGGGCAGCCGTAGGTGTCCACTGCGAGGGGGAAGAAGCCAACGGTCTCCGGGCGGTTGGCATAGTGCTTGATCTTCTTGTCGGCCTGCTCACGTGCCGCCCACCCTCTGCCTTTCTGAGCCTCCGGATCCCTAGTGCTTATTGGGTCAGTGACCGTGACGTCACAGATGTAGACCGCTCCACTGCTTCTGTCCGACATTGTGAAATCAGCTGTTTGTTCCTCGATGGGGCAGTAGGCCGTTGACTCCCTGTGTACTATAAAGCCCGCATCCTGCGCCATGTTTACGCATGCGTCCCGCAGCTCATTGTGGGTGTTAGTGCGGTGCTTGCCCGTGCCGCACCGGAGAAGGTGGTTTGGGAGCCGGGGGTCAGTGATGGACGTGTGCTCTGAGCAGTCGCAGTTTTTAGGGGTGGAAAACGGCAACGCGAGGCGGAAGCGTACTGCATTGGCGAAATGCACCGGCCCAATCCGCCTTGTGGGAGCCACTGGGATGGCCGTAATCCAGTCGCCGGTGCCATATCCAGTCAAGGAGTACATCCGCTGCGTGTGTCCGGCTAGCGGGTTCAACTCCATTCGCCTCGTCGCCTGCACCTGTACGGCATACCGGCTCCCGTGCACCTTCAATCCGAGCACGTGCTGGAGCCGAATGTCAGAACGCTCCAGCCGCTCCTTCTCTAAAACCTCCAGCGCGTCTGTTGGCAGTGCGGCTTCACAACCCCTCAGCCATGTGTGTAGTGGAGTGCTGACGTCGCGCGGGAGGAGCATATGATTCCTTGCCAACGAGAGCGCGGTCCCCTCTTCCAGCGTGAGTTTGTTGAGGAATAGCGCTGCCTGGGTAAAACTCGCCGCGAAGCCGTAAACCCCTTCGACGAGGGGATTAGTGATACCGAGGCCTCCTAGTGATGGGGGTAACGACGCCTGCTCCCAGATGCGCGTCTGCTCCGTCCTACAGGTCGGCGTGCGGATGTCACAAGCAATGAGGAGCGTGGTGAGCAGGTCCATACCCCACTGGCTCCATCTGTCACGGGGCAGAAGGTTGAGAGGAGTGGTCCGTGTGAGGTATGCGACCCGTCTCGAAATGCAGCGAGTGATGAGAAGTGCCGCAACCTGTGGGTCTGTCTGTTCGATGAGTCTTAGCGGCTTCGCCATCTCGTCAAGCTGCCTTGTTAGAAATGTCGTCGCGCCGCTGTCAGGCCCTATGAAGCTGCCAAGTAATTGCACGCCGTCCTTGGTTAGGGGGACCCCTTGAGGTAGGTGTGCTGCTTGGACTGCGCTCGAATTCCAGGCGGCGCACTTGTGTGGGTTGTGCTCAAGTCCCAGGAACGACAGCTTGCTCGTGAAATGTGTAAATGCTGCTACAGTGTCTTCAAAGTCCCCTATGAAAGTCACGTCGTCCGCATACGCCAAGCAAAGTACCCCAGCGTGGGCATCCGCAGTGTCGCGTAGTGTAGCATGAATCCCCGCTGCAAACAGTAGCGGCCCAAGTGGGTCCCCCTGGCGAACCCCGCGTTCGCTGTGCAGTGGTTCGGAGTTGTAGTTGGAATCCAGGAACAGCTGCGACGGGTTACCGTAGGTTAGTTTGACGAGCGGCAGCAGTGGCGAGAGTTCGGGGGCGTGTAACGCAGTGGCGATGGCCTGTCGCGAAATACTGTTGAAAGCGTTTTTGATGTCCGCTTGCAATACCAGGCTGTTAGGGTGGGAGTCCAGGAAGGCTCTGGCCGCGTGGATTACAGTTTCGGCGCCACCTGGCACTGCCACCCCATACTGAAGGGGGAGGAAGAAATCGCGGGCAGCTTCGCCCATCACCATCAGGGCAGCCTTGGCTGCCAGCCTGGTCAAACACTCGCCGATCGCGATTGGCCGAGCGCCTCCTCCCGGCTTGGCCAGAGCAATAAGCCGCGATGCGGTCAGGAGGGTCGCCACCGGGCCTGGCAGATTTCCACCCAGGATGGTGTTAACCAAGGCGTGCAGATGGGTTCGGACCGACGCGTTTGTGATTGACGCGTCGCGCAAGTGCTCAAATGTCATCCCAGAAGGCCCCGCTCCAACTCCATTTTCGCATCTGCCCAACATCTTGGCGAATTCCGCGTGGGCGATTGAAAGTGTTGACTCACTCGTGGTTGGCCAGGTCACCCCTTCGCTCGCTGCTGGAGGGTGTTTCTGACGCAGCTCTTCCAAAATTTCGGGGCTGGGAGTGCAGACCGGGGTTGACTCAAGGGCGAGTACGGCCCTTCGAAGGCTGCCACGTTTCGCTAGACACTCAGCCCGGCTGATCACACCTGTCGCGTCGGGACGGTGGCGGGGCAGAGGTGGCATGTTGACCGCGTCGACCGCGTCCTGGTACAATTGCTCCCATTCGCCACGCTGGAAGGCTCGGAGACGAGCTTTGATTTTGGTCCAATCCGGACGGCGAGGCGAGGTCTGGCAAAGGGTTAGGCGCGGGAGAAATAGCAGCAGGCGCCATCCTGCCTCTGACTCGGGGTTTCGTGAGAGGTGTAGTAACGGCGTCAACATCGCCAGTGAGAACAGCTGACACAAATTCGGCGGTAAGCGCCGCGACAGTGAAGGCTGGCGACTGTCGCACAGGGCCGTGATATCCCAAATACTGATTGCAGCGAACAGGTCTACCCGCTTCGCGAGGTCGTCTGGCGAAAAATAGCGGGGGACCGAAGCGGCTGGGCGTGTTGCAGTCCCTATGTCTGCTGGCCGATTTCCTCTTGGGCGATTCCCTCGTGCCCTGGGAGCGGAGGTTGGAATCCCCTCCGTCCGTTCTGCATCGAGCGGTGGGCGTGTCTCCTGGGGCGTGTCCAAGCGTGCTTGCTCCCCCACTACCGTCAATCCGCTAGTGTTCCTTCTCGCCCTGCCTTCCTCTTCCTCTGTCTCTTCGCCCTCGCTAGCTGGTGCTGCCTCTTCTATATAAGAAGGATCCTGCCGCTCGTCTTCATCGTTCGCTGTAGTCAAATTGGTTAAAGCCACTCTAGCCGCTGCCTGGTAACCATTCTCCGGGCCTCCGCCAACCCCGCTTGCCGTTTGCCGTTCCGTCCCTCGACCTCCCCGCGCTTGAGATGGTGATTCCTGGTGCTGACGAGCCGTCGCCAGAGCTCGCTGCCGCCTGGTCGGCTGTCGTCGCCAGGCCTCAGTCGGAGCCCGAAAGGGCGACCACTGCCTTGAAACCTCCTCTACCGCCGGCTCCGAAGCCCTCGTTAGCAGACGCTGAAAAGATTCATCCCCCCGCACCCGTGGCTCCCCAGGGGGGGGGGGCGGCTGGCCCGTCTGCTCCTGCTGAGGCTCCGCCTGTCCCGTCTGCTGCTCCTGCTCCAGCACACCTGGCTCCTGCGGTTCCACCGGTAGTGTCCGCGCCTGCTGGGGAAGCAGCTGCTCGCTCCGGTCCCGTTGTTCGCGCACTCGTTGTGCCGTCTACTTCGGTCCCCGGCGTGCCTGTGCCTGTGTCTGCTTCTTCCCCAAAGGCGGCGTCCGCCACCACTGACGACCCTGCTCCGATGGATGCTCCTCCTGGCGCTGACCCGGCGGCTCCCGCTCAGCCGCCGTCGGCCCCTGGGGTGCAGTCGTCTCGCCCCCCGTCGCCTGACCGCCGCTTGTCCCGGCCCCATTCTCCAGCGCCCCAGCAGGAGCGCGAAACGTCTCGGCGCCGGCGGAACTCCCCCCGGCGCTACCAGCAGCAGGCCCAGTGGCCAACGCACCCAGGTGGCAGTGGGGGGTGGCGGGGCCCCCCGGGGCGCGGTGGGGGCGGGCGGTATCGGCCGCCCGTGACGCTGGCGGACCTCCAGCGCGAGGTGTCGCGGGAGGTGTCGCGCGCCGTACGTCAGGGGAGGGCAGCGCCGAGCCAGAGCAGTTCGCGGCAAGTTGCTCCGGAGCCCGTTGCTCCTCGTTCGCCTGTGCATCCTGTAGCCCCTCCGCCGGCTGTTGTTCCTCCTCCTCTTGTCCCTGCCCCGTCCGTTCCTTCTCCTTCTGTTGCGGTGCCGGCGACCGGCTCCCGCCTGCATCTGCCACCTGTTCCGCCTGTCGCAGGGGTGGAGTTCGTGGCGACGGGTAGTGGCGCAGCTGCGGCTCCGTACGCAGCTGATGAGTCTCTCCGGTTCCTGACGGCGGCTCTGCTGCCTCCGCAGACGCGCGTTCCTGAGACAACACTTGGTCAGCTTCACCGTCTCGCGGAGAGCCTGCATGCTCTGCTTCTGATTCAAGTGCTTGCGCACTCGTCTCTCCCTGCTGTCCCGCCCGAGTCCTTTCGCAGCCACCTGCGTGACCCGTGCCTCGACGCAGCTGACCAGCTCGCGGAGCTGCTGGCGCCCGTGCTGGCTGCGCCCGCGGAGGGAGGCGCTGCTGCCGCGGGACAGCTTGGTGAGGCTGTCCGTGCACTGCGGCGACACTTGCACGCAGGATCTGGAGCCGCGGCGATCGGCGCAAGCACGCTTGTGGTCCGGGAGCTGTGGCGCTCCCTGACGGGCGTTCTTCACGCCCTTGGAGCTCACCGCATGTAGGCGCGGGCTCCGGCTCTGCCATTAGTGGTTTGCGCGGCTAGGCCGCTGTACGGCTTGACATGTTTGTATGCCTCTTGTTAGTAACTCTGTGTGTTGTGTGCTTGTCGTTCCCTCAC